AAAGGGCCGGAGATCCCCCTGCAGGAGGGGCTCCAAAGCCAGCCCAGTGTGCTCTGAGGAGGAAAGACCCCCTTGGGAAGGCGGCCGGAGCTTGAGGTGGAGCTGTGACCTGGTGGTTCCTAAGCAGCCTCCCAGCAGGGAGAAGCCCTTCAGGTGCTTGGAATGTGGGAAGAGCTTCAGGAAGAGCACCAACCTGCTCATCCACCAGCACATCCACACTGGGGAACGTCCCTACACGTGTGGGGAATGTGGGAAAAGCTTCAGTGACAGCTCCACCCTCCGCAAACACCAGATGATCCATACTGGGGAACATCCGTACACATGTGGGGAATGTGGGAAGAGCTTCAGGAATAGCTTCAACCTCCTCAAACACCAGCGCATCCACACTGGGGAACGACCCTATTTGTGTGGAGAATGTGGGAAGAGCTTCAGTGACAGCTCCAACCTCCGCAAACACCAGATGATCCATACTGGGGAACGTCCGTACACATGTGGGGAATGTGGGAAGAGCTTCAGCCAGAGCTCCGACCTCCTCAGGCACCAGCGCATCCACACTGGGGAACAGCCCTACACGTGTAGGGAATGTGGGAAGAGCTTCAGCCAGAGCTCCAACCTCCAGGGCCACCAGCGCATCCACACCGGGGAACGGCCCTACAAGTGCTTGGAATGTGGGAAGAGGTTTCCCAGCAGCTCACATCTGCTCCTGCATGAGCGGACGCACACGGATGAGAGGCCCTTCCGCTGCACCGACTGCGGGAAGGGCTTCAAGCAGAACTCCAACCTCATCACCCACCGGCGCATCCACACTGGGGAGAGGCCCTACAAGTGTGGGGAGTGTGGGAAGAGCTTCACCGACAGGTCTGGCTTGACCCAACACCAACGGACCCACCAGTAAGGGAAGCCCTATCAGTGCCCCGACTGCGAGAAGAGCCTCAGCTGCTGCTTCCACCCCGAATGAAGCCCCTGATGATGAGGCAACCCCTGGAGTCCAGTGACTGTCAGTCCATCCCTTTCGACCACAAAGGGCCAGACCCCTTTCCCAGGGGCAGCTTCTTTCATCAGAATCCTTCTTGGGGGGATATGTGGAGATTCCTGCCTTTGCTGGGGACCCCCTAAGGTCACTGCTGGAGGTTGAGAGCAGAGATCTCCCCACGAGCTTTGGTCTGGGGGAGTTCCATCCATCTCTAATTAACAATTACTGCTTTTGTGCCAGCTTGAGTAGAGTTGCTTCAACAATTGCTTTAGTGTAGAGCACTGTCCTGTCTTATTCTGAACTGCTGGTAGTCTGAGTGTTTCTGTTGTGCAGTAAATAATTCTGATGAAGATCTTTTCTCTGATCATTTGTAACCCTAAATAAATTCATTTCTATCAATAGATCTGATTTGCCATCATTAAAACCTGGCGGACAAAAGTGTTTCAGTCACACCTCTGTAATTCCTCTAAACTGAAAGTGTTGTCATAATCCAAGGGTGAGATTGGATCCAGCAGCCCCAAGCACCCCACAGTAAGTTGGGAGCTCAGGGGAGCCACCTCCTTTCCCAAAACCTGGTTCCCAAAGACCCCCATGGGACTGTCAGACCCGCCAGACCACCCCCTCCATTTTCCACCCTTCTCCCTGTTCCTCTCACTTTTCCGTGGTCCCTTCAATCCCCAGCCCAACCAGGATCAGTTTTGGGGTCCCAACCCCCACTTTTTTCCCCCCTCTTCCCCCATTTCCCAGCCCCCTCATGCTCAGTTTGGGGTCCCACCACCCCTTTATCCCCTCTGACCCCCCTTTTCCCACAGACCTCCCCCTTCCCACCCCCCGTTCACCCAAGAGCTCCTCGCCTGCAGCTGGGGGGGTTCCCAGCACCACCAGTGCCCAGAGAAGTCCCCCCAGAGAAGGGGTTGAGTGGGGTCCTGAGTGGGCTCTGAGTATGTTTTGGGGGTTCTCCAGGGCCTGTGGGAAGGTTTAGGGGGTTCCCAGCAGCTCTTGGGGTGCACTGTGTGCTGTGTTGGGGGGCAGGTGCCCCCCAACACCTTCCCAGAGCAGGGTGACATTGGGGGAACACAGAGGGGTCCCCATTCCCGATCCATCCTGGGGCCAGTTCTGCCCCCCCCCAAACTCGGCTCCACCCCTTGGGATTCCCCCAAGCCCCTCCCCCACTGCCCGCCAAACCCGGGACTGGGGAGAACTGGGAAGCTTTACTGGGATCACTGGGAGCAGCTGCGTGGATGCAGAGTGACAGCAGGGGAGGGGGGGACACACGACCCCCCCAAAATCCTCACGGGGACAGGGGGGGGTCCACGCTGGGCCCGAGGCCCCGGGGAGGGGCTGCGGCCGCTGCCGGCTCAGGAGCTCTGTGGGGAGAGAAAAGGGGGTGACACCGGGGTGGGGGGTCCCCGGGGGGGCACAGACGCTCTGGGGGGGACACACGACCCCCTGGGACCCCCCTCACCTTCTGGCGCAGGTAGAAGCCGAGCCCCAGCGCCAGGGAGACGAAGGCCAAGAGGAAGCCCCCGGCCCCTCCTCATGAGCAATTCCTGAGGCTGATGAAGCCCAGCAGGGCCGGGGCCGCCGGCGGTGTCCAATCCCGGCAGGAAGCGGGGAGGGCCCCGGGGAGCGGCGGCGGCGGGCGGGGCCCTGGGGGAGCCGCCCCGAGGGGTCCCCGCCGCCCGTGGCACTGAAGGAGCCGCCCCGGGACGGGGCCTGGCGGGGGTCGCCAGAGAGGGGGGGCGAGCTCGGAACAGAATCAACTCCGGAGAATAAACCAAGGAAAACCAAAGAGCCGCGCCGGGGGAGTCTCCGCCGCCCAGGAGCTAAAAGAGCTGCCCCGCGGGACGAGCGAGGAGTGGCGGCGGTGAAACAGTCGCCCGGGGTGTGGCGAGGGAGGTGGGATAGGAATAAAAGAGAGAATAGAGAGAGAAATCGCTTTGTCTTTCACCCCCCCCGCCCCCAACTCCCTTTTGTATACAAATAAAACCAGGGATCAACACGTGCTTCCCTTCCCCCTTTTCTCCTCAGGGGAACAAAAAACAAAAAAGAAAACTTTGGGAAAGAGGGGGGAAAGCCAACTCTGGAAAACTATCTCGTCTGAGATAAGTAGTGCTGCCAAAAGAAATGGCTGACTCCAGAGGTGCCCAAGCGGCAGCAGAGCCCCCACCCTGCACACTCACACTTCAGCTCAACATTGGGGTTTTCCCCTCCCTGGCACTGCCCAGTCCAGCCCCTCCCTGGTCCCCCCATCTCCCTGCCCCTGCCCCAGCCCAGCAGAGCAGCCCAGTCAGGTCTGGCCCTGCAGCAGGACATGGAGGCCATGGAGCTCAGGGACAGGGACTGTGTGTCTGCAATGCTCAGCACATCATCAGCTCAGGCAGCTCCTGCAGCCCCAGGGCCAGCCCCGCTCCCCAGCACAGCAGCAGAGAATCGGCCCCGGGCTCCTCAGGCCCCATTTGCCATCTCCAGGGGCACTGGCCACCACCAGCACCAGCTGGAGCAGCCTCAGCCCCCACAGTGGGACCCTGAGGTCAGCACACGGACTCCAGGGAGAAACCAGCAAGGCAAGGACCCTCTGGAGAGTCTGGTCCTTGGGCTTGTTCTTGAGAGCCCTTGAGAAGAAGACCTGAGGCTTCAGGCTGTGCCCGGAGCCAATCGAGCCCCTTGTGTGGTGGAAAGAGTGCAGTGGAGCCCAGCTCATCCCAGCAGTGCCATGGCCACAGGACTGACCCAGCCCAGCCCAGGGACCAAGGGCCAGAGCACTGAGGCCTCAGCCCAGGCCCAGAAGGGGAGGGTGGCAGGAGAAAAAGAGCAGCTCTCAACAGGCCAAATGCTGCTGCTCCCTGACGCTGCTGCTGTGCTGGGACTCTGTTTCCCTGCCCCTCTGCACACAGGCACTGCCCTGCCAGGCTCATCAGAGGTCTCAGAAGATTGAACTCAGAGAAACAAGTCACTGAAGGATCTTTGACTTTGTTTCAATGCATTCCTCATTTACCCAGATTCTGGGTCAAATTCAAGATGTAGACAGTGAACTAGACATGGGATGAATAATCAATATTCACTGTACACAACTTTATCCCAGGAGAAAAACCACATGAAAACCCTAACCCAGCACCACAAAAACCTGAGCAGGCAGGCTGGAACAAGAAGTCCCATTCTGAATGCTATGGAAGAGAAAACAGGCCATTTGTGCCTTCAGAAAAGCATCCAGTCATCATTTGCCTCAGGGCATCCTTGAAGCAAAGGATTTCTTAAGACAGATGGCAGAGCTTGGCAGCAGGCTGTCCTTCTGAGCTTGGAAAATCTCTGCTAACTCACCTAACAATGGTACAACCCCCCGACGTTAATGTTGTCAAACAGCTGCATCTGCAGGATTCATGTTCCAGCATTACCTAATGCACAATTATCACACCTCTTTTTAAAATTAAAGAGGAGGGAAAGAAAAAGGAGGGGGTGGGAGGAGACTCCCCACTCCAGTCATCCATCAAGTGTACATCCTGGCCACTGCTCCTAAAAACTGTAATATATGCTAAAAAGATATAAAAAGACATCAAAAGCTTTCAGAAATAAAAGTGCTTCAGAAGCTAGATTTTAATATTGCCAAGTGGGTTTTTGCCAGATTATAAAGTTGACTGAAATGCCAGGATACTGCATTTTGGAAGCAGCAGCAGCTCACATATTGCCTTGTATTAGTGGCTGAAGTGTGTTGCTGATTCCAAAGCTGAACTATCATCATCTGTGGGGGAGAGTAGATAAATAAATAAATAAAAATTGGCATTCCCTACCACCCCTGCTGCCTTGAAGCACTCTTTTCAAGTGCAGCCTCCACAGGAAAAAAAATTAAGACCACTTTATTTTTATTATAGTGCTTTCCCAGGCGGGAATTATTATTTCAGATAGAATCTTTGAACCATTACATTTTCAGTGAGGCATTTTTATATTTACAGTTGACATCTTCATAGAAGAATGAAACCTTTGAGCAACAGCTCTAAAGCATGAAGGTTGCCTGCAATAAATACTTTAATTATTTTACCTCCAAATGGAGCCTGTTGTTTTTAGCTAAAATTTAATAAACCTTAAATCAATGACCTTTCTTTTACTGAAAGCCTGCACTTTGGAAAACTAACTTTCCCAAGAAACATATTTTGATGAATAAATGCCAAACAAAGGGCTATTTAAATCTAAACATTTTCCCAATGTACAGCTTGTGAACATTTAGTTCCTAAATTCCCGACTGCTACCTAATGTACAGAAGAGTGGTGCCTTGGTTGAATCACGTCATTGATTTCAGAGTGTCACAGGGATCTCATTGACAGGAATCAATCCAAAATCAATCAAATATGTTCGTGCACTATCATTCATCGAATTTGAATATCCCCAAAATTAATTGTAAGTATGTGAAAGAACCTAGAAATAAATTTTGAATAGGTACAAAAATAAAAATCAGTAAACTTTGAGAAGATAATAGTGCATCTTGTGAGAAATAAAGAATTGGTTTTATTACAAGCAAATGAATTTAACAAATCACTAACATAAGAGTTTTTCCTTACTAACCTATAGGGCGTATCGCGGAGTTGTAAGACGCCGGATTCAGCCTGGAACCGGTGTCAGGGAAACATGCGAATGGGAATAGGGAACTGTAAATGAATATTGGTAAGGAAACCCCTTATACCACATGGCTGGTCCTGGAAGCTGCCGTGCTGCTGGACACTCCAGCTCCCAGCACCACACAGCCAACCAGGAAGAGGGGAACACCTCTTCTATGATGTAAACGGGGTTGAACCTTAAGAATGTTTAAAAAGCGGGACTTTTGAATTGAAGGGTGTGTTCCTGGGAATCCTGCGTGCCTAGGACACCCAACACGTGTTGTGATTTTTCCTTTTCGTTTTATTCCTTTTGTTTTGCAAACTTTTGCCGTCTTTCTAAATTCAATAAATGAGATTTTTCTCACAGAAGGGACTGGGAGGGGATTTGGGTGGCGCTGGGAGGTGCTGGGAGGGGGCCCTGGGAGCACTGAGACCGGCCCTGCCCCTCCCAAGTGACATCAT